CTAAAGAGGCCCACAGAAATCCACAAAGATACCCCCACTAAAGACTGCTGGCAATGGCCGAGAGACAGCCGGGACTGACCTACTCTGGTGATGGGATGGCCAAACACCCTAATAGTTGTGCCAGAAACCCCATCCAAGGACTGAGGAATCTGGATGCAGACATCCACAGCTAGGCCCCCGGGTGGAGCGCTAGGAGTCTAATTAGTGAGAAAGAGGAAGGTTTATATGAGCAAGAATTGTTGAAACCATGTTAGTTATATCTTATGTGCCTATCATGCCCTGGTATGACTATAATACCACTCTTATAGGGTAGGAAAACAAAGGGTGGAGGCAGTGAGGATCCACACCTAAATATGTCTTTCTGCAAGACTAGCTACAGTCAGTCACGTCCTCAGTGATGCTGTCTATCAGCATCTGGCAGCATGTAAGCTATCTAAGCAGGTAATGACCTGGGTGACATCTAATCTGGCCTAAGCTGCATCACTCCAATGGACTTAAAGTCCTTTTTATGAAGGAGAGTCATGCAGATGTGATTTCATGAAAGCCTGTTTGGGAGGATAAGATTGAGTGAGACAGAGATGGCCTGGGACCGTAGTAGCCACCATGTCTTTGGGGAGCAGTAAGAGAGATGGTACTGGAGGTTCTTAGGATGCTCTGTGGTACAGTCAGACAGCAATGCCATCTTCTCAAGGCAGCTGCAACAGTGATGTCAACAGTTTAGCCATTTAATCAGTAAGTGGATTGTGTGCTCTTGAATTCTCCTTCCCTCCCACAGTGGACTGCACCATTGTTCAGACATCTTAATTTTGTTCAGGTTTGATTCCACCATTTTTATGCTCGAGTATTAAATCAGTAACACGAAAAACCTACTGCCATGTTTCTTTTTAATTTGCTTACAAAATACTTTAAACCATTGGCTGTTCCCCACTGTGAGGGGACTGAGGGACGTGAGATGATGGGTGAAGCCTGCCTGGCCTGTGTCAGAGAGGTGCTCCATCTTGTGGGTGTATAATGGATTCCAGAGGAACACTCCTAACTCTGCCTTAGCCCCCCACATGCTGGGCCTATGAGGGTGTAAGTCCTGTGTCCAACTTCCTGATTTCCTGCACAGGTTAACTTAAATCTACAAGGACATATGGCTCTGCTGCCAAGAAGAGACACTGATTAAATGAACGAGGATTCTAAAATCAACCAAATAAAAAGAAGCCTAGCATTACTATCAAAATATCAGATAAAATACACTTTAAGTTCAAGAAACATGGCTAGAAATTTTAAAATGTACTTCATAATGGTAAAGAGAAATATATCTGACTTCTACTTTTGTTCAAACTAAAATATTCCTTTATTTATTTATCATTATTATGCATGTGCATGCAGGTGTGTGTGTGTGTGTGTGTGTTGCGCGCTCACGCACATGTATGTGCAAGTGTGTATCTGGTGGTCACAGGACAACTTTGTGAAGTCAGTTTTCTCCTTTGACCTTTTTATGGGTTCCAGGGGTTGAACTCAGGCTGCCGGGCTTGCACAGCAAGTGCCTTCACTCACTGACCCACCTGGCCAGCCCAGACAGTTTTATTTATATTCATCATGAACAAAGAGATTCAAAGAATTAAGAGGTTCATGCTGTGTCGACTGAACTAGACAGGCACTACTCTCAAATAATTACACACAATTACAAGTAAGGGACTTTTAGGGGTCTCAACAGATCACCCACAATAAGAGGTAGACAAAAAGTTGGAAATGATTTTGATGATTAGAAGGACAAATGAACATACTTGAACTGATTGACATAGGCAAGGCAGCACTCAATAAGGACTGAGTTTATGTAATTTTGAATGGTCTGTAAGAGTCAACTGAAGCTGACAAACATGCATCATCATAAAGCAAGCTGCAGTTAATTCAACGTGACTGTACTCACCCAGAAGGCATTCTCTGGTCACGGTGGCATATGTTTACCATTGAAAGGAAAAGAAGAAAGTCCATAGCAAGAAATGACTTTAAGAATAAATTCTCACAGTTTCTATTCATCCAAAAGCCAACCCAAATTTAATTCTGAAGCTGCAGCTAGCTGCAAGGGATGCTGTGAATATAAATGTACCTGAGCAACAGGTTCATACCAGTTTACCAAAAAGACATGGCTCAAGAGGGACCCACACAAGTGTTTCCATTTATTTTAAGATTAAAAGACAAAATATAACTTTTATGGTGACAAAAATAACTCAGTAGTGTTAGTGTATTAGTGTATTTGTCCTTATACAAGTATATATGTATATATGTGTGTATATATATGCACACACACACATATATATATATTTATGGAGCTCATAAAGACAGAAGTAACAAGGGCTCAGAAAAGTCATAACTGGCTCCAATTCCATCCAAGGATTCTGTTGCTGCAGCAAATAGGGAAACTGTGGAAACTGAGGCCAGTTAATGGTCCCTGCCCCCACCAATCCCTGTGTCTGTTCACAGGCTTAAGTATTCTTCGCAATAGAAATAGGCAAAGGTTAGTATCCTAATGGATATACTATCCACCTCTCCCAAGACTGAGGTCAGAATTCTAATCTGTGACCTCACAGAGTTGAGGGTTCAGCTGCGACCCTTTCCTGAGCAGGGGCTGGTGAGTTAACTGACAAGCTCTATGTTCTTCCCACATCAAACATGTAAAGGCAAAGTGAAACAGTATAGACCACAGAAATAAAACAAAAGATTCTGAAGACTTTCCTACCCATGAGAGGAGAGACCTTCTAACTCAGAACCTCTAGTGCCAAGCTGAAGGCCAAGGCTCCCAGCCTGAACCAATCTGGTCTCCACTAAGCACTGGCTCGCTCTTTGTGACTGATGGACTTGCCTTCTCCTTGGTCTATGGCTTTCCGTGGCCTCCTCGTTTTTCTTGCTCGTTTCCTGCTAAGGTTGATATGAACATCCAGGATTGGCCAATCATAGGTGCTTACAGACAGCCTTTTCACTTCTTCATCAGAGTCTTGACGGCAATCCTTGGGGTCAGTGGTTCTGGTCTGTGTGATTAGACCAAGTAATGGAAGAGAGAGCCCTTCAGTCATTAAGTCTCAATCCACTTCCTACGAGCACCCCATATCACTCTCTGAGTTTCTTGGCTGTACTTGGAAGTCTCAAACACTGCTGAGTTTTCCTCTAAACATGGGACCATTTTGATAATGTGGTAGATTCTCTACTGCTGTCAGCCTTTCTGATACTGAAGAACAAGAACATTGCTGCTGTGCCTGCTTTCTGCCGGGCTGATGAACTTAAACAGTTGGAATGAGTATTCGTTGCATCACAGTTCCCCCTTCAGGCCTCATTGGATCGGGGTAGCTTTGCCTGAAGCATTTGGACCACTTACCATCCACGTTCTCTTTCCTTTTTGTACAGATATTATGGACTTATTAAAGCAGTTTCATCTTTATTTGGAATGACTGGAGGCCTAATTTCTTCAACTATGGCTGGGTTGATCCTTAATCAGGTAAGTAGCATGCAGATATACATAGTTGTTTTCAATTTTTTTTTTGCTCTTAATTGTATAAAGAGAGTTATATACACGCATGCACAAAACTTGTTGGAGGAGATGCCAACAGCGAGTGGTCCTCTGGGTCAGCAGACAATATATTCTTTCTCCTACAGACAGTCTATTCTTTCTTGTTGTGCAGCAGCTGCTGGTGTTGGGGACTCCAGTTGTTTGAAAGGAAATGGGTCTCTGGCTTGAACAGGGAACAGTAGCTTGAAACGGGATTTGGCTGAGTGAGGGTCGTGGAAGTCCGAAGGTGAGCTTTGTCAGAAAGGAAGTCAGAAACAGGAAGACATGGAACTAAGGGTTGGGGGGGCACTGTCACTTTTACTGAGGCACTGCATTGCAATTGTCACAGAATTATTTAAAATCCTTTTGCTGGACACAATTGAAATACTCTGCCAATTTAAAGTTACTTAAAACACATGCTTCAGGCTAGCACGATGGTTCAGGGGGGGCAGTGGTAGCGGGGTGCAGCACAAGCCTAACACCCTTGTTCGAACCCTGGAACCCACACGATGGTGGAGAGAGAGAACCAACTCCACAAACATTCCCTCCGACCTCCACACCCAGGCTGTGGCACATGCGTTTTCAGATGCACATATCCTGCGACACACACAAATAACAACAATTTTAAAATCCATGCCTCATCGTGAAGAAAACAAGCAAAAGAACATTTTAGAGATTCAGAAAAATTGATTCCAGGGAGGTGAACGACCACAGGGCCACTGGCTGCTGTGGATCATTGGACAAACATTGATCCAAAAAGGCAGAGCCAGGATGAGCATATGGCTTAAGTGTGTAGTGAGAAAGGACTGCACCCTCATTCTGCATCCGAATACTGAAGTTTATGCTCCCTGCCACCACGAAAGCTGTGAGCAGAGGCAGGAATTGCATCTTTAAGTGGCACTTGAATTGGAATGTTCGAACAGTGAGTTGAGAAGGCAGCGGGTTAAGATCCTAGGGAAAACTGTAGCCAGCTGGTTTAAAGGGAAGCAGTTAATCATTCTAGAAGTCCATCTTGCCCCGCTGGTCAGGTGGTCAGCAACATTGCTGAGATTTGTGATGTCTGTACCACTCTGGGTGTTGGGCTTTGCACTTCGCCCTCATTCTCTAGGAGCCTGAGACCAGTCCCTTCTTGAAATGCTGAGTCTAACTAGCACCTGCCTACATGAACCCTGTGTCCTTCCACGTGGGCTGAAGCGTTAATTTACAACAGCCAGATGCTAGCACTGTGTGTGTGCTCTAAGCTATTGATAACATGCACGTGTAGGTTCCTTTCTACCTTATGGAGGACAAAAGTACCCTTTACAGTATAGAATACAAAAGGGTCCTTATCTACCCCAACCCCATCCCCTATCAATTTCACTAGCTCATGAACTGGTTTGTTTAGAGAAAAGCTCTGACATGGAGAAGTCATGTGGGATTTCTTCAACCCACCACACAGCATGGGCCAGGGTGAGGTGGTCAGCATACATTGTGGCCACATTTCCCATAGAGGAGCTTCCCCAAATCCTGCTTCACATACTTGTGGTATCATAAAGGCGGAAGTCACAGACAGTGCCATGGAGACTCCCTAGGAGGAATGCTGGCCTCATGAGAGAAGGGAAATTCAGGGCAACCAGGATCAGCTCTCTTTCTGAGCATAAGAGCCAACCACACCCTCCTCTCCCACTGCGTCTATTGAATGCCCTGAGCCACTTTCCAATCACGGTCAGCTGGGCAAACTGCTCCTCTAACTTCTGGAAGGTGTGAAGAAATGTGATTTCAGAATTCCACAAAGTTATCTCTGCCCAGGAAAAAATCTCATTTGCTTTTGGCTCAGTGTGAGGGAAGAGAAACATTGACTAAAATGTCCACCGAGCATGTGAAACAGTAAGCCAACAAGAGTTTGAAGTCTACATTCAAATCTCTTTTCTCTCCCAAATCCTTTTTTTGATTGTTTTTATTTTATGTAATGGTTGTTTTTCCTGAATATATGCCATGTGTGTGCCTGGTGCCCCCAGAGTCTGGAAGAGAGCATCATTTGCTCTAGAACTGGAGATACAGTTCACTGTGCGACACCATGTGGGTGCTGGAAATAGATAATCCCAGTCCGCTGGAAAAGTAGCTAGTGCTCTTAACCTCTGAGCTCTCTTCCCAGTCCCATCAAATCTGGTTTCTTCTAAATGTCACACACCAAGAATTGTTTTTCAGAACCTTAACTGCCTGACTGGAGCAAATTAAAATTTTCTAGAGAAACATCCTGAATTCATGCTCCATGGGGGTTTAGTAAATATGGCTCAAGACTGAAAAAAAAATCTCAAAACACTCAAAGAAATGTGAAAAAACAACAAACAAACACAAAATTAGAGCCTCAAAGATACTGCAAACAACGCGCACGTTTTAAAAAGTGAAAGAAGAGACTGAAGATGTAAGAAATATGACCTATGACAAGGAATCCAATTTACCCCCTTGTAATCAACAACATACAAATCAAAAATAGAAATATCAGACTTAGTGTGAACAAAAGGAACCTCTAAGGACTCGACTTCCATCAATGGGAGAGTGCACGGTTTGGGTCAATTTTCTTACTGGAAACAGTCATCGAGGCTGAAGACTGGAAGGCGCATCTTCTGTGAGGCTTGAGCCGCTGAAGGTGCGGAGACAGTAACAGGCAACATCTGCAAGGAGCAGCAGCCTGGAGAGCTGTTCCAAAGTGACTGGATTTGTTTTTCTGTTGGGGAAAGGGCTTCTGATTCTAGGGGTCCTCCCCAGAGTACATGGAGGATAGAGACCCTGATAAACAAAACTTTTGGACTTTCCAAGGGCTGCATCTGAGGAAAAGGGTGATCAGAAATCAATAGCCAGTCCTTGTAATCTGCCTGGTGTCATTTGGGTGGCAGAAAATACCAAGTCAAACTGGGGTGCTTCGGGAGTGCTGAGACCTCCCAGTGAGCCCCAAAGAAGCAAATCAAAATACATCTAGGTAGAGGTGACACCATCCATGAAACTGTCCCTAGAAATTTCCTGTAATTGTAAAGCAGCTTGGGAATTTATAGAAATTGGCCACGTAGAAATTGTTAATGTACAAGTGCAATGACTGTAATGGACAAAGTCACACACAGTGGACCCTTTCAACCCAAAGACCAAACAACAGTGACTGTAAAAATCTATGCACATCTGAGAGCTTCTTTGCAGGTTCCAGCAGGGGGGCACAGCTACCCATATATCCTTGACCAAAGACTAATCTTCCTCTGTTTAGGGAAGGCTGTCCTCTTGACCAAGCATGCAGCTTCCAGAGGAAAGTACATGGAGCAGTGAGGGATGAAGGGGATCCCCACCTAGCTAGCCAGATCAGCCAAATCAGCCCTGGTGATCAATGGGTGACAGATGTCACCCTCACATCCACATGTTTGAAAATAAAAGAAAAATACACTGCACCAGCTAGCCCAATTGTTAGCTCAGTCCTCCCACTGAGAAGAGGGCATTTGTTATCAGTACACGTGGATTTTTGTGGTGGCTCAGTGGATAAAGGTGCTTGCCACGAAGACTCATGGCCTGAGTTTGATCTCCAGAGCCTACATAGTGGAGGGAGAGTACCAACTCCCTGAAAACCATCGTCTGATCTCCACTCTTGTGTCATGACACCCACACACATGGACACACACATACACACAGAGTAAACAACCCAAATGTAAAAGAAAACGCTCTCAAGAGACACTAGTCTGGCGTGTTAGCTACCTTTTCACTAAGAATGACCTCTTCCTGGAGTAAACTGACAGCTCAGAGATAAAGAAGTGGAGCCTACCTTTCCACAGCAGAGGGGAACGTAGGTTACAGAAACTGCAGTTCCGATTCTAGGTTAGAATAAGATGGGCCCACATCTAACAGGTAAGGGTGAACTGGAAGTTGGTTATCCCTTATCAGAACGCAAGAGTCACCTTGCAGTTACTGCAGAAAACAGCACAGGTCAGGGCAACGTGAGATGGTTTTCCTTTGACACTGAGAGCAAGAAAAGGAGGCGATGATCTTAGTAGCTTTGTACTGTATTCTAGTTCAAATATGAAAGATACTCATGAAAAAGGGAAGCGATTCAAAGACAATCAGAAGGCTCTACAGCTAAACTGTGATAACAAACAATTTGAAATAATTTCTGATACAGTATAAATATGTAAATAGTATAAATCAATGGTCTGTATGAATTATTTTCTAAATATCTGAATAAATAGCACAAAATAATTTTAGTACATAATTTATAGCCCTAAAGTAAAATAATATATCTAAGAATATATTTAATGAACAGTTTGCATACCAGTGGGGAAATCAGGAGATAGTTTTTACAAAATTTAAAAATCTCATAAATGGCAAGATACACCATTTTCTTATATTAAAAGACTTGAAAATTTGTAAAATGCCTTCAAATTCTGTTATAAGATCTGCTGGTCAAAACTTTAGATTATTTTTATGGGAAATGATAATGTTTTTATACAACTAGCATGTGTTCACAAAGGGCTAAGACTAACTGAGGGGATTTGGGGTTTTATTTGAGACAGGACCTCACTGTGTAGGCCTGGCTGACCTGGAACTCACTATGCATCCATGCTGGTCTCCTACTTGCAGCTATCCTCCTGCCTCTGCCTTCTGAATGCTGACACACAGGCGGGTGCCACCACACCCACCACTGTGAAGGCCTTGAAGAAGAAAACCTGGACTGCTTTCTCTTAATTGTATCATGGGAAATATGAGATAATATGAGAGGCATCATAGCAAAATAACAATTA